CTGTAAGGTCAGTGGGATCTTTAGGACACATTCAGGTCAGATAGTACCTGAGTCTGGGGCACTCTATGGCAGGGGTCTGCAACCTTTTTGGCACTGTGGTCAATTTCGTGGAAGACGCTTTTTCAAGGACTTGGGGGATGATTCAAGCATGTTGTGTTTATTGTCCACTTTATCTCTATCATTATTACATCATCTCCACCTTGGATCATCAGGCATTAGATCCCAGAGGTTGGGGACCCCTGCTCTATGTAGTTAAGGAGAATTGGCCATCGTTGACAATGACTGGGGCCCTGTCTTACGTCTTTACTGTTTTGGACTTACTTTTTAGATATGTCAGTGAGTCAGGTGAACTAAGATGAACTGTCCCCTGAAATTCTTTCCAAGTCTAAGAACCTGTGATAATATTTACTGTTGAACAGACTTGTGGGCAACCATAATGTGTGGGTGGTGGTTTATGAACCATAAAATATAAGTGAAGGTGGGAGATGAATAATTCAACGATCACTGGGTCTTGTCCGTTTGGGAGGAGTTCCTTGGGGAACACCACTTGTGGCATTGGGTCATATTTTCCAATGTATGTTCAGTACAGGAACTGTCGAATCTTTCTTTGCACACACTGGCCAGTTAACTGTAGAAGCATCTTCTTCTTCCCCATCCACATGTGTCTTCCCTTCCTCATTCATGTGGTTCATGTCACAGAGCCTCAAGTTGTTCCTTCGTGTGTGTGTGGGCTGTAGAGTCCTACAGTGGCAAATGGCAAACTGTTTCATGTTACAGTTTGAATATTCTAGATTCTAGATTGGGCATTCTGATTCTGTAGCGGGTACTCTGGAAGGTACCACAAGGTCCCCAACCATTTGGTCTTTGTGTGTATGTGTGTGTTTTTTTAAGGGGGAGGAAGTGATTGTCAGTTATGCTTCCTAGGGGCTGCTTGCTTATTATGATTTCTCCAAATACTAGTAGCTTGTTTTGTTGATGTCTATTGCCTTTTCCATTCAGCAAAACTCTCTGTGGTATAGTTTGTTATGGCCTTTTCATATGCCCAGATGCCTTGACATTTTTCTTTTACCATAGAATTCATTGGATGAAAACTGCAAAAGAAGAAAAAGACCTAACTGTTGGATATGTTCAGCAAAGATCATTAAGTCAGATGAATACAATTTCAAAGATTCTCAGTTAGTAGCACTGCAATCTCACTGTAAATTTTTCCCTGAGTTTATATCTGAGATAGGTTATTTCTAATTAAAATACCATTGGGGCGAGAGAATTTTATTTCCCTTCCATTGCATAGGATGTAGATTTCATTTTAATTGTTTCATAGAGAGTCAGTTAAATGGACAAATGAGATAGAAGTAAAAACAGATTAGAGACATTTGTTTTTGCCATGTGATCATTCTAAGCAATCCTGGGAATAAACAGTCTTAAATCTATTTATTTTAGAATTAAACACAAATCTATATTGATATTTTATGTTTATTGCCTCATTCTAATTTCTGTGGCTGTTTCTAAGAAACTGAACATAATTTATGATGAAATGAAATGCCATGTGATTCATTTCTTTTAAGCCTAGTTTTGGGTATTGCCTCATGTACCCCAGTACTTCCTTACTACTGTTTTGTGTTGGGAGTAGAGAAGGAGCTGGTTGATGTAGAAACAATATTAGGATACATTCCATGGTAGGCAATGCAGACACTTCGCTTTGGGAACTTCTGTGTTTAAGAGTTTTGGAAGAACTGAGCAGGGGTTCCCCAAGTTCTGGCATGTGGATCTGGGGGCTTCATCATGAATGGAAGCACATGTTTCAATGACTGGCCTCCAAGGGGAAATCAGAACTGTCGCAGTTTCATTCAGCCTGCAAAACAAGATTGAGATTATGTGGCTTGTGACCAGTAAGATCCAACAGGAAAATCCCCGTAGCCAGTCTGCTCCTTGCAGAGGGTTACCACAACTAATTAATACATTTGAAACTTAATTTTGCTCTTTGACTCAAAAAGCAGAAGCTGAAGTCAGGAGTCGGGGCAGACAGCGGCAGGTGACAGCCTTGGGACAGTCTGTGGGGTCCAGCTGGGGGGCAGTGTTCAGCCTCCTCCGCTAAGTGTGGACAGCGCAGGTCTCCTCCTCCTAGGAGGGATGTGGGAGCTGGTTGTGCTGCTATCTCTGATCGTGAGGGACTCAGGCACTGGATTGTCATGGGGAAGCTTTGGGGACTCAGCTGCAAGGAATTTCATGTTGGACTTTAGTCACTGTGGTTGAATAGAGTATGCGTGTATGCTCAGTCGCTGAGTTGTGTCCGACTCTTGGTGACCCCATGGACTGTAGCCCACCAGGCTCCTCTGTCCATGGGATCTCCCGGGCAAGAATACTGGAGTGGGTTGCCATTTTCTTCTCCAGGGATCTTCCTGACCCAGAGACTGAACCTGCATCTCCTGCACTGGCAGGCCGGTTCTTTACCACTGAGCCAATGGGTAAGCTAAATAAAGAGCACCAGGAAGGAAATGGCTCTGGCTCCCCTCACCTGATGGGCAAGGGCATGAGGCATAAAAAGATCCCTGTGAAATCTTGATGGGGCCCTTCCTGTCTGTACTCTTAGTGTGAACTTCTGACGGTCAATTTTAGAAATTAATCACGTGTCTTTGGGGACCGCAATGAGGAATGAATGTCCCCACTGTTTCTAAGGTTGAAGACAACTGTGGGCAAGGTTGGGATCTGCTCCATTGGAATGGTTGGTCACAAGGAGCCAGGAACTGCTCATTCTGAGTGGTCTCAGATGCAAACATCTATAACATGACCCCTCTCTGTAGGGCACAGTTGGTTAGATTTTCAGTGACACCTGACACAAGTGGCCCAACCAGAGCCCTTTCTCTTGAGAATTTGGCCCCACCTGTTTCTTAGATGGAGGTGACTTCAAATCTTTTTGTGTGGGACTTCCCTAGTGGTCCTGTGGCTAAGACTCTGAGCTTCCAGTGCAGGGGGCCTGGGTTTGATTCCTGGGCAGGGAACTGGATCCCATATGCCACAAATAAAGATCCTGCAACTAAGATCCAAGATCTCATGTGCCGCAACTAAGATGCAGTACAGCCAAATAAATAAATAAATATTAAAAAGAGAAACCATATCTTCAGGCTTCTGTGTGTGTTGGTGGTGGGGTGGGGTCGGGTGGGGGCAGGTGTTCTGCATGCAGATGGAATTTTGGAGGAATCTCCAAAGTTTGGTCAAGAAGAGGAATAAGAACGAAGCAACTGTTGGAGGAAGCCATAGCAGGAAGCCGAGGTGAGTTGGCACTTCTTTTCTGGAAACCCTCTACTTTCTCGACTTTTCTGTCATTAAACTTTCCTGGTTTTCCTCCCAGGTCTCTGGACTCTCTTCTGGGTTCCCCTTGCCAGCTCAACTTCCTTTTTTAAATAACATCTAAATGCAGATTCTCTTCGGGTCTCAGCCCTGGGAACCTGCTCTTCTTTCTGCACAAACAATCCATCCAGACACACCCAGGACCGCTTGTCACATGTTTCTCCCCCTTGTGGGCCATTCACCAACAACAGTTTCTGACAGCTTGCTTTATTCTCCCAATATATTTTTGTATGGAATCCTCGTCTGAGTCTGAGTTGGTGCAGTGAAATTGAAGGGTCTGATCTTAGGGAGAATTTGTGACCTCGAGCATTCTCCCGCTACAGGGACTTGCAATTACCCTCTGGGGGGCTAATTTGACCCCATGATGACTGTACTCAGAGCAACTTGTTAACAAGTCTCCTCATGGAGAGACCTGTGGCCAGGAGGTTCACATGCTGGGATTACCACGGACACAATTGCACAGCTGTGCTCAGTGACCAGGCTCGTTTCTCCAGCTGCCTGAGGCTTTCCAAGCGTCATGGGCGACTTGTCATGACATCGCTCATCTCAAAAGAGAACGTAGCTCATAACAGTATTGAGAGGCCTTTCTGCAGGACAATGACCTTGTTTAGGGAAGATTGGAGGGATAAAACTCACCTGCTCACAGGGCAGGCAGGTAACAAATGACAGAAATCCAGATGAAGAGGACGCTACCTGGGGAAAGTGGTCTTCAGTCCGCCCCAGACCATCATCAGATATGATGAGGGATTCAGCTCAGTTACATCTTCAGCTGGAAATCCTTTAATCTGAGACCCTTGATTTCTAAATGCTGTCAGTGTATCCCACTGGGTGTTCATTTTTTATGACTACGCTTTAATCTGTACAGACATGTTCCTGTGGTAGATTTCACAACTATTGAATTAGAATAGCCCTGCAGGGAACCAGTGTATATGTGAGGGAGACCTGGAATGAAGCATTGCCTTCATCCCTTCTCCACTAGGTCTAGAAATAACTCCCCAGGAAAACTGCTATGGTCATCTTTAAGTCAGAGGTTGACTGCAGTCCCCTCCTGTATGACAGAGTGAGGATACTGCCCACTGAGACAGCCAGAAAAATATATTTGAAAAAACACACAATTTAGAGTCCCCAGAAATGATTTTAAGGTCAAACGAAGAAATATCCATTCAAGAAATCTAAGGAAATTCATCAGAAAGTTGAGAGTCTGTGATATTTGAACCAAGACTGCTTTCCTGTCCTCCTCTCATTTAACAGATGGAGACTCCAGTCCAGATGGGCACCACCAAGAACACAGAGTTCTCAGCCCCCAGCCCCCCAACCCCTACCTCCAGCCCCTCAGCCCACAAACCCTCAGTCCCTCAGCCTCCCAGTCCCCAGACCCCCAGTCTCCCAGTCCTCCAGCCCCTCCACCCCCCACCCCGGGCCCTACCCCCAGCCGATCAGCCCTGAGTCCCCAGTCTCCCAGTCCCCCAACCCCCAGCCTCCAGCCCCCTAGTCCCCAACCCCCCAGCTTCCCAGCCCCTCAGCCCCCAGCCCCGAGCCTCCCCAGCACACAGACTGTGGACTTGCTTCCCAGGAGGAGCCGCCGTCAGATTTCCCATCCCATTCCCTCCCCCCCCCCGCTCCCTGTTTCAGAGGCCAAGCCCCTACTTTAGAATCACAGCTTTCCTTGGGGGCCCCACCACTGAGGATACTGCGGCCCTGATCGCCTTGCCCCGACTGTGAGTTGGGGCTTTTGCCCCAGGAAGAGCAAGCCCCAGGGGCTGCCGCTGTTTTCTCCTCATCCCACGGGTGCTCCATAGCCAAGGCAGGGCAGCCACGCAGAGGGGAGCTTGCCATCATCCCAGGGTTCATTTCCAGAGCCGAGGCTCAGAGATGATGCTTAGGATAGGGTACTGAGGGGCCCAAAATCTCTTCTGAAAGGAGCAGGCTCATTTGCAGCAGAGCATGGGGAAGGGGAAGCCCAAGGGTGCCCTGGAGAACTGGGGAGGTCGCAGTGAAAGGTGACCCCATAGAGGTCGGCAGCTGATGGAGACAGACCCAGGCTGTAGGCTGGCTGCTTTGCTGGGTAGCAGGTGTGGGCTGCTTCTCAGAACAGGAGTGTCAGGGTGGGCTGGGGAGACCCCCCTCCCACTCAGGGTGCCTGCTACAGGGGTTAGCAGTCTGCATGGCATCCACTGGGGTGAGGCTATGAAGGGGCAGCATGGTGCCTGGTGCCCAGGTGTGTGCAGTAAGGATGTGGGATCAGGTAGGAAGGAAGGGCCTGGCTGGGAGGCAATGATGATACCATCTCTTCAATGCCTTAGAAAGTGATTCTGGTTTCAGTTCCTCTGTGACCAAGCAAAGTTTTGGTGTTCCGGGCTGTCTGGGTGTTGGGTCTAAATGAGCTGCTGTTACTGCAGGTCTAGCTGAGTGAGGCCCCGCAGAACAGAGGCCCATGAAAGTGAAGCTGCTTGGTCGTGTCCAACTCTTTGAGACCCCGTAGACTGTAGCCTACCAGGGTCCTCCGTCCATGGGATTTTCCAGGCAGGAGTACTGGAGTGGGTTGCTATTTCCTTCTCCAGGGGATCTTCCCAACCCAGGGATCGAACCCAGGCCTCCCGCATTGCAGGCAGACACGTTACCGTCTGAGCCACCGGGGAAGCGGAACAGAGGCACAGGGTCTGTTTATACAGTGTAACCCTGACTGCTCCTCCTGTGGGGGCTTCCCTGGGTGGCTCAGCGGTAAAGAATCTGCCTGCAATGCAGGAGACACGGGAGACGTGGGTTCAGTCCCTGCGTTAGGAAGATCCCCTGGAGGAGGGCTTCCATGGTCTGGGGCAGAGATGTCCCGAGGGCAGTGAAATAGGGGCAGGACTGTCCAGTGGCCCACGAGGTGGATAACGGCTCTTCTCTGTCCCGGTCAGGAAGCCTTTGCACTCCAGGCTCAGGGGTCTATGGGGAGAAGCCCAGCCTGCTTTCAGCCCCCTGGACCTGGGCTCTAACCAGGGCTGTGCCCACAAAGGACCCTTTGTGCTAATACATCAGCCCAGCAGGGGGGGCCTGTTACTTCCACCACAAGTGGCCCCAGGTGAGCCGGAGGTGGCCCAGGTCCCTGCGCCCTAGCTCTGCTGTCCTTCTCCCTCTTCCTCTGCATTGTCCACCCCATGATTGTATCACATGGCCCCCGTATTGCATTTCTGCACACGACTCCTACATGTCCCTACTCTGTGCCCACCCAGGGGTCTACCAGCCCTAGGGGACCCCAGAGCCCGTGTTCTGAATAGGAGAGGGTGAGCCTGGGGTACTGTCAGGACCCTGGGCCATGCTGTGAAGCAGAACCCCCGCCCATCTAGCCTGGCAGGATGGTGTCCCAGGTCCTGTCTCTTTCCCCCTCCCCGACTGTGGAGAGCAGGCTGACTTCCTTCTGTCTGAGTCTTGAATTATGATATTTTCTGAAATCAAATTACTTTGCCATAGGCGCTTCACTTAAAAGCCAATTTCTCTAATTGCTCATTTTGGGATCTGATCTGGTACTCCTCCAGTAGGGGCCTGTGGCTAAGGTGTTAGCAGAAATTAAATATCTGTGTCTGCAGATCCTGTCCCCCTCCCCAACACATACCCCAAGCATCTGTGCTCCTCCTGCCGATGCGGCTGTCCCCATTGCTCATTAGTTGCCTGCTGTCAGGAACCTTTCACGTTTTCCTCTTTCCTGCCTGGGTGGAATGGGACCACACCAGCCTGAGAAAGAACGTTTTCATCATGCTCAGGGCCATTTGGCTGATCCACTTCATGCTAATAACACAGAGAGTCACATACCATAAGGCTGGTATGTGGCAGCAGTGAGGCTTATGGGGCTGGAGGTGGGTGGCTGCCATGGACCCCAGGTGACGATGGTCACACGGGTCCAGTGCTGCTAAATGTCCCAGCATGTCGAGAGCCCCTGGAAAACCACAAGACCCCCTGGTTCACACTGGGTTCTGTGCTGCTGTTTTTCCACCTGACTCTGGGGAGACAGCAGTGAGCAGCAACTTGACTCAAGATCTTAGTTCCCTGGATGGGGATCGAACCCTGGTTGTGGCCGTGAGAGCTCCAAATCCTAACCACTACACCATGAGGGCCAGTGGCAGGAGTCTGGGCCCCAGATTTCATCAGTTTAAAAGGTAGAGAGGAAAGTAAGCATTTATTAGAAAAGCAGGATATATGTGCACAAATGCACAGGTGAGCTCAGAGAGAGCTGGGTTTTTTGGAAAGTTTAAATCACTTATAGGGGCACAGTCTCACGGGTTTTTGTTTTTCTCTGGCCAGTCATCTTGCTCTGACCCCACAGTTGATTTGTCTCTGGGCTCTCCCGTACGTGCGCTGCATCCTCTAGCCAGGATACATTTTGACACAAGGGTCTTTGGGAAGCTAGCAATACTTATTATGGGCTGCATCCCCTCCCCTTATGACCTCAGAGGAGACTTTCTGCACATGTGCGGTTAAGGCCTCCCTGACCCCAAGGATGAGAAATATGTGACCTCGTGATCTTTTACTCAAGCAGGGCTCAGCTCTTCTCTGCCCCTGCCATGACTCTTATCTTAGTGTCCGCAGGAGATAAAGTCCAGCCATTTACTGTGTTCCTGTTATTTCCATCTCAAAGTTCAGTTGGGAGGCTGGTTGTAAATATCTAGCCTAGAAAGCATCTATCTCCTGCCTCACACCCACCACCCCCCACCTCTTTCTGACCTCTGCCCAGAGGTTCCTGGGGTGGCTCCCATGACAGTAAATACCTGATGGGGTCAGATGTGCATGTGGTGCTGACCAGTGACCGAAGCTGTGGGTGTGACTGAGGCCCCTCGAGAGGGACAGGTGGGGGGATGAGGGGACAGGCCCTGGCCACTGGGGACAGGGCCGTGGCTCTGCCCAGCTCACCCCCCAGGCCAGAGACTGCAGGTCCTCCAGGCCTGTGATCCTCATGGCCTCTGCCCAGCGACATGACACAGCTATGCACACGAAGGGGACAGCTGCCTTTGCTGCTCCTGCAGGTGAAGGAGCCATGGACACCTGAGCGACACCTGAGCCCAGAGCACACAGCCACGTGGAGCCTGGTCCTGAGGCCTGCCTGTCTTTGCCCTCTCTGGCCCTGGGTGCTGTCCCTAAGGTCCTTCCCACTTCAGGGGTGGCCAAGGGCCAACAGCATCATTACCCCAGGCTCACTAGAATGCGGAGCCTTGGACCCCTAGACCTGTTGGATCAGAATTTGCACTTTGAAAAGATTCCAGTGATTCACATACAAATTAGATTCAGAGGAGCACTGCAGGGGCCCCATCCCCTCCTAAGACCTCGGTGTGGCCTTGAGGGTCCCCAGTCCCAGGTCTCTCAGGATGCAGTGGGAACTCCTGGCTAAAGGTGCAGACGCTGACCATGTCCTCCTGAGCACCCACTAGGAGGGTAGTAACAGGACCTGAAACAAGCGTTAACCCAGCAGACGGGGCAGGGGAGGAGGTGATGACAGGAAGCCCCTGGGAAAAGGTACCGACCAGCAACTCCTTGAAGCTGGAACCCTCGCTGGGGAGGTGCAAGGGGTTTTCCTGCCCTCAAAATCTGGCCACACCATGAAGAAAGCCCCATGGGCTCTGACTTAAGGGTTTTCCCAGGAAAATGGCCCAACAAATTCATATCACAAAGGCCACGCCTGAGAGTATGGAGCTTGCCACTAGCTTCTCCATCCTGCAGTTGGAAATAAGAGCCCAACAGACGGAGAAAAATGTGGAACATGAAAGCAGAGATTAAAAATAAATGGGGGGGAAAACATGGTGTTTATGGAGAGAGAAGATAATTTCAAACTACAACTATTAACTAACATCCTCAGGGAGATAAAAGAAAGACACTACGCCCATATAAGAAGAATGGGATGCTATTAAAAACAGCATTCAAATGTGATTAAGAAGACAAGATTGGTAAAAATGCTGGACTATGAAGTAAAGGAAGTGTTCGTGGAAGACAGCAGGAAAGATGAGAGAGGACCAGGAGAGGAGAGTGGGGCCGGAGGACCAGGGTGTGGTCCCTGCGTCCATCCTGAAGCACAAAACCCAGGGTGAGCGTCTCCCCCACCCTTGGCATCATCCACAGTGAGTGTGTGGCATCATCCACATCCATAGTGAGTGTGCAACAGCGTGGGTTAGACCTGGGACTCATTGGTTACATCAGGGAGCCCCATTCACTGCCTCGCCAGGACACGAAGTTGCTAACTTTCTATTTTCTATTTTATTCATCCTCAAGTTGGAAACCATCTTGTTTATGCATTTCCTTTATTGTCAGAAATCAACCCCACTTTCTCCATCAGCTGACCAAAATCTTGCATCCAGACATCTCACCCACCTACCCGCTGCTCTGTTGCCCTCACCTCCCGAGGGGCTCCCGTGGATCCTCTGTCCTGTCCTGTCTGGGCTGGGTTCCCTCCATGCCCACAGCCCAGGGGCCCTCCAGGCTGCCTGTCCCCCACCATCCTGGTCAGGTCCCTTCTCTCTGATCCTTGATGAACCACTCAGATCACGGTGTTCCTGGAGCCCCAGGGTCTTCAGGATGCCATTTTCCATCACTCTGGGGACTCCCCTTGCCCTGCCTCTTGCTCCTGGAAACCTTCCTGTCATGTCAGAACTACTGACACCCCAGGACTCACACGCTGTGCATCTCAGGGACGCACTAACACCCTAGACCCTCTACAGGTCCACTCCTTTAGAAAAGATAGTGAAGCTGCCCGTGCTCTGCCTGCCAGACCCTGAGTGCTGAATCCACCTGCCAACAGTCCAAAGCTTGGAGTTCAGGGACAATTGGTCTGGAAAGTGGAGTATCCTTGGCGGGCCTCTCTGAGTCTCCTGGGAGAAGCCGCCCAGTGAAATCCTGGGGCCAGGGCTGTGGTCTGAGCCTGCAGGCTGAGCCAGGGGTGGGAACACAGCTGCTTTGGGGATTTCTGTGTGACAAATAAGTGCAGAAGAAAAAAATCCCTGAGTGTAATTTAGTGGGAGAGCTCCAAGTTAGCCACTGGATTTCAATAAGATTCAAGTAATTGGTGAGAAGAGTCTTCTAGCTCTTATGCTCAAAGTTGTCCTCAGAGAGGGGTCAACTGGAATTCAAATATAGGAACAGCAAAGAGAGAGAGACAGGGAGAAACAGAGACAGAGAGAGAGACAGAGAGAGGGAGAGAGACACAGAGAGAAACACACACACACAGAGGTGTTTTTGGTCTGTCCCCTCCTCCCACACCTTCTGAATTCATCCTGATCTTATCTTCACATATTCAGCCTCTCGTCAACCATCAGATAAGCAAATCCATTGACTATCAGGGTTTTAATGAAAATTGTTCTTTTCCTGGAGCATCTCCCTGGGAAGCAAATGAATGGAGCCAATAAAACCCTCTCTCTTCCTGGTACTAATTGATGACTTCCTCCCACCCTGAGCGCCTGGAGAGAGCAGCACATTGACTGCACCAGCTCTTGCTCTAAAGCCCTTCATTAGGAGAAACTGTTTATCACCAACTAGTTGGTCCAGGCCCCGGCAGGTCTTCATGAGCATCAGTGATGGGCAGGCAGGCAGGGGTGAAGGTGTCTTTCCTCCGGAATGGACTCTGCTCTCTGGTCCCTCTTTCCAACTGGAATGCTTGATTCAAACCTGCATTGTGTGGGGGGTCTGTTCACCTGACCCACCAGTTTCCCAATAGCATGAGGACAGAATGTACTCTATCCCTGCAATGTTTGGTGGGTCCATGGCTGGAATCCTGAGCAGGTCATTTCCAGAGGACACAGGGCCTCATCCAAGGCCTTGGGACCAATAACTGTACCTCCCATTGACAAACCTACCCAAAGCAAACTCAAAATTCCATCCTATTTCTTCCTAGCTTCCCCATCAGGGGAGGGGTACCAACATCCACTCCTCTGCTCCACACCAACTTCTAGGCATCCCCGGGGCTCCAGTCCTGGCCTCCCCAAGCCCCAAAGGACATAGACTCCTTCAGGACACAGTCCTGGCCCCTCGTTCACTGTGGTTCCTCATGCCTGGCACTGGACTTGTACACAGAAGGTGCTCCATGAGTGTTTCCTGACGAGTGAATGAACCTTCTGGGTTACCAACTCACCTGCCTCCTCTTTGGAATCCTGTAGGGAGGAGCTGCGGTTCAGTTTTGCTGGAGTCACATGGACAGGAGAGGGTGCTTCAGGCACCCTGCTTCTCCTGTGCCCCCCTCACAGCCGGGGTCCTTCCCTCCAATGCTTCTGATTTGCTGGGAGGTGAATGTTTGTGCTGCTATGAATATTTGATGGGCCCAGCTGTGCAGGAGAAGCTCTAAGAGCTATCCATAATTCACCGCAGGGGCAGCAGCCTTTGGTGCTCAGAGCAGCCTCCTGTGCAGAGAGCTGCCTCCGGAGGATGGAAAGGCCTCGGGGGTTCATTATGCATCACATGTTCAGGGCCTGGTGGCCTGAAAAGTGATTCAGTTGTGCAGATGGTGAGGCCTTGGAAGTTCTGGTGGCCACGCATTCTCAGATGGAGTCACTCTCAGACCTCCTGCAGTCTGCCCTGCTGGCATCACCGCCTGATCATGACCCTTAGCCACCATCATCCCATCAGATGACCCTTTGGGTCCCTGTGTCCTGTGGGGCCCCTGCTGACACCCCATCTCCCCACTGGAGTGTGGATGCCATGAGCACCCGCCTGGTCATCTTAGTCACTTTCTCCCCAGCACTGATGAATGGACAGAGGAAGAAAGGAGGGAGGGAGGGAGGGAAAGAGGGAGAGGGGGGAAGAAGGAAGAAGGACCACTTCCCTTGCAAAGACCCGTGGCTCTTCCTACATCTCTGATCCTCACACATTAGAGACACGTGATTGACCAGGGAGTTTGTTGAGATGCAAGCTTCCAAGTCTTTCCCCCACACTCTGATCTACACCCAGGCACCTGCATCATTCACAAGGCTTCTAGAGGCTTCTAACCTGTCAGGTGAGGTCCCCTCACAGGCAGCCTCTGGAGGAAAAGGCTCCTCCCCGGGAACAGCGGGGATGAGGCAGATGAGCCGTGTCCCTGCGCTCCTCCAGGCTGGGCTCCTGTCACCACCTGAGCTGCTCTCGGCCCTCCTCCACCCCTGCTCTTCCTCCATCCCCGGGGATCCTAATGAGGATGAGCCTCTGGGGTTCCTCCTTCCGGAGCCCTCCTCCCCCGAGGGTTCCTCTCCGCGGGGATGACGCTGGAGAGCAGATGAGAACAGGCAGGCATCCCCAGAGAGAAGCTGCCTGTGGTTGCCCGGGGGGAAGGAGGTTTGTGTCCTCCAGGCTGTTTCCTCAGCGGCGCGGGGGTCGGTCGGGAGGACTGGCGGTGAACCTGGGCCTCGGACCCTGACCCACCCCGGGCTCGGGGCTCATTTAGATCCGGCGTCCGGAAGGAGCTGCGGCTGGAGGAGCTCGGTGGGCGGTGAGCTGGGCGGGTGAGGCCCGAGTGGGTGCTCACCGCCTGGCCTCTGCCCTGCTCTCCCGGCAACAGAGGGTGCCCAGAGCTGACTTAGCTCCGCAGACGCAGACCAGTATGTGTGTACACACACACGCTGCATGCACCCACCACATGCACACACAAGCCCATACACAGACTTACACAAAAACAGACACACACTCATGCAAGCACACACAGGGGCGTACCCATGTGCACACACCCATACACAGGAACACATATATCTATGCGGACCGGCAGGCTCACAAACCCACCTTCACGCAAACATGTGCAGGTGCACACAGACACACCCAGTGCTGGAAGCACCACCCCCACCTCATCGTCCGCGTCATCTACTTTGAAAGGACTTTCCTGTCCCCGAGTTGGTCCACATCTGCTCATTCTGCAAACTTCAGAGAACCAGGCCCCTCTGGGCCACAACCATTTCCCCAGAAGGAGCTACCACCAAACCTATGGAGCCTCAGAGCTCAACGTCCCAAGACCCTCACGGTCCTGTGCTGGGGAGGGCTTTCCGGGGACATAGGAGACCATCAAGTCACATCTTTAAGACATTTGGAAGCCAGTTTTCCCCCAAATTGGAAGATGACAGGACATGTCACTGTCTGTACCAGGAGACTGAGGGCTCAGGGGGATGTTACAGAACCTTCTGTCGGGAGGAAGTGGGGGCTGCTGCTGCTGGTGATGGAGCTGGACAGGCCTGAGAGGAACAGGATGACCTGGAGAAACTCTGGGGACCCTGGGCAGGTGGACAGCATGCACCCCGATTTGTTGTCACTGAAGGCCTGGCCTGCTCAGAGCAACCGACCATTAGGCTGTCCATCCCCGAGAAGGTCAATCTGTCCATCGATAGTCATCGATGTGAGCACAGCCAGTCTGCAAAGAAAGAAAGGTGAAGGAGGGCAGCCCTCCTGGGCCCTGCCCACAGCGCCTGCCTCCAGGGCTGGTCTGGAGGGGGTCCTGGGTGGGGGGCTCTGAGGCCCCCGTGGCTCCAGGTGTCTGCTGACTCCTGGGCTCCTGTGAAGGCAGGAAAGGGGCCCCTCTGGAGGGGGCTGACACACACCTCGGGGTGTCATTGCACCTGCAGAGTTGGCCTGAAACAGAAACATCTCGAGTGGCCCCCTGGGTAGAAGGGCAGCTGCCCACCCGGGACACTCAGGAGAAGCCGTTCCTAGTGGAGGCCCCACCCTGTCCAGGCGCCTGGTCCCCAAATCTCTAGTTTCCACATCTCCCCCTGTAGGTCAGCAGACCACAGACCCCAAGTCCCCCGCAGCCCTGCGTCTGGAAGGGGGCGGGGCAGGAGGGGCAGCTGTGGGGTCCTCTCACACACACCCCCACCCCATCTGCCTCCCTCCTAGCTGGGGAAGGGCCCAGAGGTCCTTGTGAGGAGGGGCTGCAGCTGGGCTTCCGGGGAGGAGGGGCGACTCTGAAAGGCCCTCAGAGAGCCATACAAGGCGGCCTTGTTTGGGAGCCGCCTCCCTGGGCTCAGATCTCCTCCCTCCTGAGCAGGAAAGGGGGGCCCGGGACCGTGATCAGACACCCTGCCCTGTAAGGGGGTCACCGCGGGGCTATTTCCAGCTCAGCCTCTGACCCGCAGACACAGGGGCCCTGAATGAAGTGATTTGCAGCTGGAAACACCCTGCGGGGCCCTCCCAGCAGCTGTGACCTCTCTCGGGGCAGAGGGGACACACGCAGGGCGGGAGGGGCCGCTGTGAGAAGGATGTGGTTGAAGCCTCTGCACTAGCAAAGAGGGCCCCCTCGGGACCCTGGGGCAGACCGACCTTCCTCTACAACTTTCCCTGGCTCCCCATTGCTGTGGGGGGAGCCCAGGCCCCTCCTTACCCTGGCATCCCTGTCATAACCACCCTCGGGGGTTCCCCTCTCCCACCTCCCCCATCTCTGGGAGGAGCCTCCCCAGGTGGGGTCAGGAGTGCCACCCTCTGACCTTGGTGCCCAGGAGGAGACTCGGCAGAGACCACTCGGCAAAGATGTGCCCGGGGGGCTGCACAGGGTGAGGTGATGGTGACGCCTGCCCAGGCAAGTGGGGAGCACTGGGGTCACCCCGCCTGTAAATGCTCCGGTGCCTGGACCAGGGGAGTGGTGGGCAGCGGCCGGCCCTGAACCGTCCACTCAGGGCAGGGCCAGCAGGTGACTCTGCCTCCAGGGTCCCCCCCGAGCCCCTCCAGGTACCAGGTGCGGAGCCAGAGGGTCCACTCGGCCTCTTGGATCTTAGGTTTCCTCATCTGTAAAACTGGAGTGGAATCACAGCAGGGGAGCCCCACGGGCTGCTTTGAGGATTAATGAGTGAACAGGTGGGAATGTTCGGCCCCCGCCCGGCAGGAAAAGCACCACGTGGTGCCCAGAGCCCTCGGTCCAGGTCAGTGATGATAACACAGACAGTCCCCTCCTCCTCCCAGTGAGCAAGCGGTCTCTGGGCCATAAAGGGAAGGAGAGAGGACAGCCTGCTCTTGGGAAAATGTCCCTCTAAACTCTACATGCGTGTTTATGGATTGAAATACAACAGGCCTCCAAGGAGTCTCTTCTCATCTTTTGTAAGGAGGAGGAAGCCCTGGGACTCAGCCTGACATTCAGGAGCATCTCTGAGGCTCTAGTCCTGGACGGTCCCTGCTTCGTGTCAGTACTCCTGGAGGAGGCCAAGGAGCACGGAGTCCTGTCCACCCCCCTCCCTACTCCTATGCTCACCTGGGGTCTCAGGAGAGAGCATTTGGGGATGGAGGCGTCCATCGTCAGCTCTGCCCTCGCGTCCCTCCCTTCTGCTCCTGGAGCCGCTTCCTTCAGCTACACGGGAATGCCCCCTGGCTGAAAGCAAGGAGTGGATGGAGGTTCCTGGGGTCTCTGCCCCTTGTAGCCCCTGATGGAGATGCTCCCCAGCCCGGAGACCCCTGTGGTCACCATGATCCCTGCTGCTGCCTCCATCAGGTCGGGTGGGAGCAAGTCCCCCCGGGGTGTTAGGTCAGAGAGGGGTCAACATGGGGAGCTGGGTGCTCCCAAAGCTAGTGGGGGGCTGAAGGAGCCAGTGCAGATGAGTCCCCATGAGGACTTGGGGTCCCTGCAGACCTGATGCCCAGGGAGCCATCACCCCTCAGGGCTGGATGTAGACCCTTCAGACCAGTGGCGTGGAGTCCAGCCTTCTCTGCTGCATCTCCACCAGCCACCTGTTCTGACCAGTGTCCTGATTCTCCTGGAGTGAGGAAGCCCCTGAGACAGACCCTGATGAGGATACCTCTGTGTCCAGCATGGATTCTGGGGGTGGGGGGGTATGACTCACAGGGGTCTCCTCCTCTCCCAGCTCCCCCATAGTGGACTCTGAGCTGCAGGGGGCCCTAAGGACAAGCTGGAGGGTGTTTCCCTGGGGGAGGTGACTAGATGTGAGGGAGGACTTGGCTCAGAGCCACAGGAGTTGGGGCAGGGTCAACTTTGGAGCTCAGATCCCAGCACAGTGTTGGGAGCAGAGTGACAGCCTACAGTGGGCAATGGCAGATTCAGCTCAGAGCATCAGGACTAAATGAACGAGTCCAAGAAACCCTCCAAATGTTCCCAGAGATGATTTTGGCAACCAGGCCCCTGATGGGAAGTGTGCTAACGGCCAGCAGAATGCGAAAACACCCAAACTGGCTCAGCACAAGGGAAATGTAATGAATGACAAGATGCATCTGCATCAGGCAGAGTTTGATCCAGCAGCTCAAACACTGACTTTAGGGCTTGATCTCTCTTTATTTTGTGGCTCGAGTTACCTTGTCCATGTACCTTCCTAGCCAGCATCTCCTCAGGGTTACATGCACTGAGACCAATTCTCTTCTCCAAGTAGGTCCAGCCAACTGTCCACCCCTGAACCAGGCGCTCAGGCCACCGGGATGTGATGTTCTAGACTGCATAGTTGAGTCACATGACCACACGTGGGCCGGGGGCAGAGTCAGCCTCACACAGACCACACAGGCAGAGTCGGGGGTGGACCTCCAGGTGAGCCCAAAGAAGGAAGGAGCCCAGGTCTCTCTGCTGTCCCTCCAGGATTCCAGTGGAGCTGTCACCCTGGGCTATAGAAATTCCTCCTGCAGAAGTGGTGGCCGCCCCCTCCCAGCGCCCCAGATGCCCACCAGGCTTTTCTCTCCTCATGAGTGTTCGGGTCCCAAGGAAGCAATGCCTGAAATGGGGCTCATGGATGGACCCCATAGACACTGTGTGGGGAGGAGAGCTGGCTGCCTTAGCCTCGCGTCTCCCGCGCTGCCCCACCGCACCCTGGGCTGTCTCTCCGTCAGCGTCACAGGTCACCCTGGGCTGCTTTCTGAGGGACAGCTCCTCTCCCCACCAGCCTGGAGGAGAGACATAGCCCCAAGCTTGCTAATTAATGAGACTCAGTGTAATGAGCTATTTAAAGGCAAACTCATAAGGCTGCTAACGGGATTTCTAATTTGGGAGGAGGAAAAGGGTTAAATTGTGTTGAGAACAATGGAAGTTTGGGAATCCAAGATGTTTTCTGTTTCTGTGCTTCCTCCCAGTAATTAACTGGATGGAAGTTGTTAAACTTTATGAGAAAGCAGAGATAATGCAGGTTCACTGACTCTCTGGAAGATTAAGTTCATTTATCTCCTCCCAAACTGCCAGGAGCCCCAGTGTTGATGCCATTTCAAGAGAGAGGAACAGAGCAGATCCAGCGGTATCTGCTGGTTTTTCTCCAGCTCCGGCAGTTCTGGGGAAGTGGGCGGGTTCTGCTCAGAGCAGGGGTCTCTGCTCAAACACTGACATGTGATCTGGCCATGTGTGAGCCTCAGCTTCCTGGTCAGAAGAATGGGGCTGAGGGCAGGCTTCTCTGTAGGGTCTCTGTGGGCATTCCCTGAGAGATGCCCTCAGAGCAGGTGGCAGGAGGCCGGGCACACCTAGTCCCCAGAATGTCCTCGGAAGTGACAAGTTCCTATTTGTGTGGTTGCAGTGTCTCCCCACAGCCCTTCCCA